TGTGAGATACGGAGTGCGTCTTAGTTCGCTCGTAAATTCTATCGTCTATATCTGCTAGCCTATCAAAATCGATATCTTCGTCTCCGATTGCTAGTATCTGTTGGATGTTTTGTGGGAGACGTCTGAGACACAATTGATATAATAGACGTTTATCTACTGTACGATTCCCCAATAAATTTGTCATGTGGCGTTTTAATTGAGATGGTGTACTGTCACCAAGCTCTACATTAGCTAAAAGTTGATCAATTGTCTGCTGGTCGGTGAGAGATGTAACACGAATGACCTCTCTTTCTGGACAATCGTATGGTGAGTCTAAATCCGGCTTAAAAATGACATCAGGCACTTATTCTAAAACATCGTCTGGCAGCAATGAGTTTGCATAACTAAATTTTGTGCTCTGATTTGTGATTTCGTTTGCTACAAAAAAGCTTTCTAAGCGTACAAACCAGAGTTCGGCCTTTCGGGGATTAAAGACAGGTAAAGGTACAGAGATGGCACCCACGGAAATAGACTTAGATGAAAAGCTTGGTGAATTATCAAGTGACATGATACGAAGAAATAATAATAATAGCAATAATAAGCTGAGAATTGAAATATATAATATGAAGAAGTCAAAAATAGCAACAAGAAATATATATGAGACTCACCGAAAGAAAGGTCACTTTAGGTTTAAATAGGCAAATATACAGTAATAATTCCTAAGGAACAATGTTGTGGGTAAATTTATTGACTGTCAATGAAATGTTAATAATTGCAATGGTAATTCCAATATGAAGTTCTTTATGATTGGAGGGTATGCAGCAGACTTTGTAGTGAATTAGGTGCGTGTTCTAAATCCGGTTCACCAGTTTGTAGAGGTTAACCAAGTTTGTTGAGATAAATTTCCTCAATATCCGACTCCAATAAAAGATATCTCATTAACCGAGTATTTAATACGGGCTTAATGTTCTAGTAGAATTACCGATTTACTCGAGATCATTCAAAAGCCCAAACATCAGTTATTAGAGATGGTTTATTGTTAAAGCTTGGTAAAATCCGCAAGCATACAGCAAGCAAGCACCGCGTGAGACAAAGTCAAAGTGTGTGTGTCTGTGTTAAAATTCCATATATATTTTTGAGTATTAATCCAACGTAGATAAATTATTGATTATCTATGTGTCTCAACCAATGGGGGAATAAAATAGGGATTGAAGTGCAGACGTACGCTCAATCATACACATATGGAAATTAACACAGTGGGGTAGACAAATAATACATTAGTGGAATGGGTTTGTTACAGCCTCACATTCACGATTTGACAGCTACCTTGAAAGGTACAACTGTCTTTTCGAAAATCGATTTGGTTAAAACGTATAACCAAATTTTTATGGCCACAGAGGATATTCCGAAAACCGCTATTATAACTCCCTTCGGACTCTATGAATTTTTGCGAATGCCTTTCGGTCTAAGAAACGCGGCACAAACCTTCCAAAGGTTCATAGACGACGTTTTTTGAGGTCTCAATTTCGTACATGCGTGTGTTGATGATTGCCTAATAGCAAGTCCGGACAGAGAATCACATCCCCAACATCTGGATGTTATTTTCGACCGACTAAAAAGACATATCATTACTGTAAACACTCAGAAATGCCAAATCGGAACTGACTCCTTAGACTTTGTAAGACTTACTATCGATGCGCAAGGCATCCGACCCCTTAGAACAAAAGTGGCGGCCATTCTGGATTACCAAGAACCGACCAACGTCAAACGTGAAAATGCAAAATCCATCAATCCGGATGACACCGCGCGGAAAGCATTCTCCACGGTTAAGGAACAATGCTTGCTCATCAGGACACTAAAGCACCCATTAGTATCGCAGTAGACGCATGCGACCCAGCAATCGGAGCAGTCTGACAACAATTTGTTAACCACTCGTGGCAACCTTTGGCATTTTTCTCAAGACAGTTCCTAGACACTGAATCGAGGTACAGCACATTCGGTAGGAAACTCCTAGTTATGTATTGTGCTGTACGTCATCTTCAACACTCTATTGGAGGCCGTGAATTCACCTTTTTTACTGACTATAAACCTCTTACTTTCTCCTTAAGCTCCTCTTCAAACAAGCACTCACCACGTGAGTCTCGACAACTGGACTACATTTCGCAGTTTACTTCAGATATTCAACATATTTCTGGAGCAAGCAAGGTGGTCGCATATGCCTTGTCTCGAATAACTTCTTTGAACAGTTTCCAAGGTATCAACCTTCTAAAACTCGCCCAGCCTCAAAAAGAAGACAGTGATCTTCAGCACGAGTTGGCCTCAACAACACTTAAACTGCGCATTAAACAGATGGGAACAGGTAAGGAAACCTTACTTTGTGACACATCTACAGGTAGGGATCGCCCAATCGTGCCGAAACAATATCGACGCAACGTCTTCGATACGTTGCACAGACTTTCTCATCCAGGTGTTCGTGCAACCATCAAGCTTATAACAGAACGGTTTTTCTGGCCTGGTATGAATAAAGACGATGTGTAGCAGAATTTGGCTGCTAAATAACCACCAATACAGACAGTGGACGCCAATTGGAATCTGAACTTTTCCGTTGTCTGACCGAAATATAAAGAATAACTCGCTTCCGAACGACGGCCTACCACCCACAAGCAAACGGTTTAGTAGAACGTTTTCACCAACAACTAAAAGCGTCACTATCAGCCGCAAACATTTCTCAGTGGACTGACGCTCTTCCACTCGTCTTACTAGGCATTCGCAATGCAGTGAAAGCTGACCTTGCATACACTGCGTCTCAACTCGTTTATGGTACGACCCTTCGACTTCCAGGAGAGTTCGTGGATCCTTCATCCTCTTCAATGAACATGAATCTAACCTCCTACATGAACAGGCTTACAAACGCAATGCGTTCAGTTAAACCTATTTCCACTCGACCACAATCAACTGATGTTTTCGTTCAACCTGACTTACGATATAGTACACACGTTTTCGTACATCGAGACTAACATCGACGACCTCGCGAATCAGTATGCGAAGGACCCTTCAAAGTTCTTCAACGCAAGCCCAAGTATTATATGATCGATAAGGACGGAACCAACGTTAGCATTAGCATCGATCGCCTCAAAGCAGCGTATTTAGAAGGAAATCCTATTCACGTTGACTTTCCTTCAGTACAGTCGCACGACACGACTCCTGGATTTATAATACCTTAACAGAAAGCCTACACACACGTTGATACTTCGGCGGTATCAGAAAATAAACTCAAAACAACGCGTTCTGGAAGAAGAGCAAGATTTCCAGAACATTTAAACAATTATTGCACGTAAGATACTAGATGACATCTTATATCGTCTTGATTATCCCTTGTACTATACATAATTAAAAAAACCAAATTTAATATGCTTATGTTTTTATTCTTATTTTAAAAAAACATATTGTATTACGTTATTACGTGAGCATGAGTTTATTTTCCATTTTTTACGCGCATAAGAGTGTATTTCAACATACAGTTACATACTTTTTTTCTTTTCCAAGACGGCTGGAAAAGAACGATGAAGTTTACGAGGAACAGGAATTTTCATTGTACTTTTTCTTTTTTTACTGTGTTGTACTTCATGGTCCCTTATAGTAAGGAAAGACGACTAGGCGCTGCTAAACTTAGCAAGCTATCAGAAGAGTGTTTACCAACAAAAAACTCATTGGGTTTAAACTTCTGGATGGCCACGTCTTAGGGTCATCACTACCCCACTAAGTAGAGTGTTCTGTGACGGTAAATAAATCCCCAAAATAAATAGCTCTGTAAGTTTTTGCACCAGATTACGTGTGGGAACGCCGTGCTCAACATTTACTGCAATCGCTAGCCAGATTAGATCAGACGATCCTCGATATATTGATAGCCTATCAAATATATCTTCGAACCTCCTCGCTTCTGTCTTTTGATTTCACTCGGTGGGTACGCTTTATATTAGAAGGTGTTACTGGTTAAAGCGTTGTCAAACTCAGAATACCTGTGGCATCTTCAACATGAATAACTATATGGCACCAAGAAACGGTTCACTATAGATGAGTTCATAAAGTTTTAGCGTATGTCCTATAAGGTTTTGTGGTCGTCCCGCTGCCATTGTGATGAATTATGCCTCAGACGTGATTAGAACTCCAAAATAGCTAGCCTTATAAAACTTGACACCATTGCTTACTATGTCAGTTTAAGTTAACAACACTAGCCTAAGAGAGAATGGTTAGGGATTTCAAATGATTCGTCTCAATCTTTAAAATCAGACTATTATAAACCTTGGAGATACTCATTAAAGGAGGCTTACTTCTGCGTTTGTATGCTTTCAAGCATACTTTCTTCCTAGCCAGTAATACCATATTCATTTGTTGTCATTGTAATATATTTTCCGATTCTGTTAAGTCTCTTATGTTACCATAATCTTTCAGTCATTCGTCCGGATTTTCAGTAGTTCTACCGTTTCAGAACCTTAAAAAAATCGGTCAACTACCTTACACACATATCAAGAAGCTATCACCTATAACCCAGACACAGATTGCACTGAACTGACACTTTCCGAATTCGGTGTCAGTTAAGTTTGGAGTAAATTATCTTACTAGTTATATCACACCAACGGGACACATTTTTTACCTGTTGAAAATTTGTTCCATTAAATAAGTGAAAGATGTATTATTTTTGATGTTTTAATTTTTTGCTTTAAGGTTCATGGCGTTCTTGTTATCCTATATCCAAAATAGCATGTGCTACGTTTGAAGAAGTAGATCACAGAATAATTATTTCCTCAAGTTTCCGAAAGTGATCTGCCCGTGAGTTTTTTCTGCGAAATATAATTCATTAAGCTGTTGCTTCCGCCATTGGGTTAGATACATAATCCTGTTATATGGACTCAGCAGTTTAAAACCCATCGAACTAATTGCATATCTGTTAGGCGTAGTGATGTCTGACAACCACCAGCAATATAAGAAGCAAGAACAGTTGCCATGACTTGTTTATACTCATCACGAGTTGCATCAAGGTATGAAGCGGTTATTTTTTATCTTATACATTGGATCATGTGTTTGCGCTACCTTTCTAATTTTGACATATGCAATGTTTCGAGAAATAACGGTTTATTTGTGTTCCATGGATTGTTTGAAAAATAAATATCAGTTACAAAATTTATAAATTCACTAACGTATGAAGTTCATCAGTAACAAAAAGTTAGAAAATGCCAAGAATACCTGAATTTTTGATTTCGTCACTAAAAGATGTCCTTGATCAATTTTATTTCTTATCCTCCTGTGATCTTGTCAGATTTTGAACTAAATAAGGTTGTTTTCTCTCAATTGTTGAGATACTTGGAATGTCCATCAATAAGAGTATTTCCAAATTTTACAAGCCCGTCAGCTATAAATTAACTCCAGAAATGGCTTTTAGAGACTGTGAGAATCCGTCAAACTTAAACATTCAAGCCTTTTCAAGTGATTCTGGATCTTCCTTCAACAGGTTAGGCGCTACTGGTAGATTAGATAACACGGATACATTTTGCACAAAAAACCATACTACAGCTAATGAAGTTCAATTCGGGCTGTCCGATGAGAGTAGCAGCACTTCTCTTTCATCTTCCTCTTCTGATATAATGAGCTCTAGCGTGATTGAAGGTAAGTGCTGTGAAGAACACCTATCCCTCACACGAGAAATGGCAATAAGGCTCTTGAAAGAGTACGTCAAAAACCTGAAGGACTTTTCCTCTATGATGAGAGAAAAACAATCAACAACTTTGAGAGATACTTCCACCTCGCCGATACATTCACCTGTGTTAGACAGTTATGATAAACAAAAATGGGCAATAAAACGAGATACTCAGAATTCTGATAACACGGTCAGTCGTCAACGACCTTCTTCTATGTTGGGAGTAAGCCATACGCATCAAACGTCATACGATCTTGCTCAAAACGATCGAACTAAAACTTCATCGAGTTTCTATAGCTCTTTGGATCATGTTATCGACATACCAGTTGCTTTCATGAAGAAGCAAAACTTCACAGCACGTAGCGTCTGTAAGGTCATAAAGCAGCCAGATAATCCAGGCAATTCTTTGGAAAAGTCTTACTCTACTAAGATCGATAAACACAATTGGTTTAACAAAAATAGCTTAGATTCAGATGATTCCGGTCAACAAACACCAGTGAATTTTGAGCCAGGTCTGCAGACTGCTGTGTTAAAATCAGAAAAACAGTAAGTTATACCATTTTCCATTTGTTGAGTGCTTAGTTTAACAAAGTTTTAATCTTTATATAGTCATTCCTAGGCTTAATTTCGCTTTGTATTATACGGCGATTTATTTCTAGTTTGTGTCCAAATCAAGAAAATGTATATTTATATAGCAATAAAACGATAAGATTCATAATCCTTTTTATTTATGCTTTACTAAAGTCCTAGAGAATTTATTTCAGCTGAACATCGGTAAACAAGAACGTTTTAGATCTCATGAATGAAGCAATAATGTTACATAACGTTTCAAGGAGTATGTACGTTCTTACTTCAATCTGAAACCTTTCAATGACTGTCGCCCCCTCTTGGATAAAGTTGATTGCTGGGACACAATTTAATAAATTTCTGTTCGACGTGCCTTTGTTAAATAGCATCTTAAAGTATGAGCTGCAAATGACGTGCTATTACCAATTATTCAGTATATGTGCACAAATACAAACTTAAATGACCTTATTTTATGCTAATCACGATTTCTAATGATGTTTCTTGAGTAAGCTAACTTTAAACTTTGTTAAAAAATGAATAAACACGCACAAATGGATTGCTAAGCATTTGTTATCATTAAAATGTTATTAAAGAACTTCATGGTTTCTCTTCTAAAAGCCTATGCTAGAGTGTTCACTCTGTAATCGTACGTGGCTATGGTCTTGTTGTAAAGTGATTGTAAATACCCTCTCAATCCTCAGTTAAAAATAGTGAGCGATTTCAAACCATGCTTTTCCGCAAGTATAATGAAAAAGTAAGACAACCTAGACTTCATTTATTACTGTGGATCTCCGACCAGAGAAAGACAGGTTAAAGCACTTTAATCTGCTGACCCTCTAAAAACAAACCATCAGATAAGTAATTTCTCATAAGTGTTGCTCACCTTAAAAGTAGCATAGAGCCAAAGGCTTACTAATGTTATGTATATTTATGTAAATTAATTTGGTCATCTGTTTGTTTTAACTTTAAAAATATAAGCCAGCGATCATGTTTAAGTAGTTGACCCTATTTTAGTAAGGAGAGAGTTATCTTGGACAAAAGTTTAAAAGGTCTTAGTTAATGAAATAGTAATCAAGATGTGAATCCAGTTAATTAGTCGATAACTCTACCGATAATCAAACATTTTTGTATGATCCATAAGCCATTGATTAAAGGTTTATTTTTTCAGTCTGCTTTTGAGAGAAAAAATCATTTTTAGTCATTAGGACAGTATAGGACTAATCCTGGGCTAAAAGTGTGAATAATTTTGGATTTCATATTCTTTATTATCGTGTTCTAATAGTTTATAAGTATACACACGAAACGAACCTCTAAAATTAGCTAAAAAATACTAAATCCGCCAATATATTATCTTCTGGTCTCACCGGTTTTATAATAGAAACACAAACCGATATATTGACGAGTAAGTCACAGTTTATGATACAAAGCACCGTAATTACACGAATCGGTAGTCTCAGGTAAAACGATGATTGAAGATAACAGAGATTCAAATCTTCACAGAAAGAACCAAAGATTTAATTTGTGACTCAGTTCTTCACGATCTTGATCACTTTTGCCTAACCCCTTTATGCCTTAAACGAGTTCATGCTGCTTGGATTATATGTCCTGAATAGTTTTATAGACTTCATGCACAAATAAAATTAGCCACTGATCCTTAGGGGAGTCGTAAAAATTTCGGCAAACTAGATCAAGATCAGTTATTGAACATTTTGTGGTCTAGAAATCATCCCTTTAAACAGCTGTCCGATCCTTAGACTCTCTTACCTTAAACATGAGTATTTTGGAATTTTTTAAAAGGTCGACATCAATAAGAGAACTATTAAAATTCAAATTTTGACCATCTAGTTGTTCAATTTCTGATTGATCTTTATATCGATCAACAACAGGAGGACGGTCTATATTTTTTACCCTTTACCTTTTCACTCTGTAAAATATAACTCTTGATAAATATCTGGCGCCGTTTTATCGACAGATTTAAGAAACTGAGAATGCATTAAGCATCAAACGGAACGTGAAAATCATGAGAAGACCCTTGAAAGCGCGTTTACACAAAAGCTTTGCTCCCTTGTTTATCTAAGAATTGCATTAAATTGAAAATAATTGGTAACACTTGACGAGTTTCCAAGTCTTTCTTTGCAGAATGATTTGCATAACCAATTACTCAGACGATAGACATTGGTCTAGACATAATTGCACTTATAGCCAGTGTTAATGGTCACTGAAAATAAATATTATTATCAACGACAACGTGAAATTAATTAATAAATAAACCACAATAACGTAGGTGAATGTGCTACCGAGACTCATGTGTCGATGGGACATTGATTTCGTGCAGGTTTACCATGTATTATTTAGTGTAAATAAAAAAGGCAAGTATTAAATCACCTACTCAGGTAAATATCACATTTTGGACGTGGGTATTTGTTACTTGTAAGTAAGTTCTTTTATCATTACCACCAGATACACAAACGAATTATGAATAAGCTACTGTTTTGTAATTTTTATCTGATTTTGATAGTTAGGGTTAAGGAAATCAAACACATAAACATTTTCAAATTACTAATCAAAGAGCACAACTTAAGCCACCTTAACATATTTTCAAAGATCATAAAGATCATTCTGCTATCTTGTAGGTTGATATAACTTCCATTATATTACTAGATATTTTGGTTACAAGACTCGGTTTTATCAATAAAGTTCTGTTATAACAAAATGGAAAAAAATTTATCAGATTGTATGTACGTAAAATACGAGTAAATTAATGCTTGTGACAGTTTAGAGCTATAAGCAATCAAGAGTGAATAAAAAACATCTGGAAGTAATTGCATTCACAAAAATGAGTGTAAATAAGGTGAAGATGAAAAACTCTCAGTTTAATTTGTATATTGATTTCAAACTCTATTGTTGATGCTGTAGGAAGTTTATATTTAAAAACGTGTTAACTTCAAAGTACCTAACGCTTTATGTTATTCACTTAGATGTCAGATATTATGGAAATTTCGGCTTTTGCTTAAAGTAATTGGTCGTAAATGAGAGTCAAAACATGCGAAGATAATGGATGCTGGGTTGTTCAAACATGGAAATTATTGTTAAGCCTGGTATGAATTTGGAATGTAGTATTATAAGTACATTTGTTAGTAGAATAACAATTTAATTTTTGAGGGAAACCAAATGTATCACAGGGTTTCTTTCTGATATAGGAGGTTTTTTTACAAAGTTAACGGTTAACACAGAAGAGTTCCATAGCACATAACAATTGAATATTATGCCTAACCATAGGGTACAATTGAAGTTTATTGTGAACGCCTGAAGTGGCAAACGGTTCTTATCAAACTCTGTAGTGTTATTTTATAACCAATCATATATGATTATGATATGATGTTTCTTATGGTAGATGTTTCCTAGAACTGGGAAAATAAGAGACATGTCTCTTGGAATTTCCTTAGTTATTTACTGTTCGATGATAACTTAAGAACTTCAGTAATTGTGTTTACACTATTTGTAGTTATCAGCTTGAGAAAGATCCTGGAAACTCAGTGCCTATACTTTCATCTACCAGTGCATTAGATAACAATCAATCTTCAAAAGATTGTAAAAAGGAGACACAAAAACACTTGGATAGAATCGTTGTGCTGCCACCACAACCTGATATTCTGAAATTCGAAAGTGAGTGTAATGATTATTGATTTTGTTGTTATTGTATCTGTTTCTCATGGTTGAACATAAGATTTTTGAGGTAAAGGATTTCAAACGTTTGTTAACCGCCCTCAAAAATGTTACAGCTAATAAAAATGTAGATCACAAGCAAAGTTTCAGATAGAATAGAGTGTCCTATGTGTTCTAGATAGGTTTGTGATTTGCTAACATGTATTTTCACTGAATATCGTATGTTCGTTTAACTGCTTACATTATCATTAAACAGTCTATTATATAAACTGTTAATATTTAGCTACTATTTAGGCCAAAAACCTTATGTTATTTACGCTTTAGAAAACTTACAGTTAATGAGTATTTCAGAACAAATGAAGCACATCATTTACTGAAGAGGCCAACGGAGAGTAAAAGTACTAGAAGTTCATGTATTAAGGCATCCACCATTAGTCATTACTAACATAACCATCAGATACACGTAAATAAATCTGTGGTAACCATTTAAAGATGTAAAAATTTTTTCACATTTTTTTTTGAAAGTTTATGAAGATAATGGAGTTCAGCTTAAAAATAAAAGACCTGTCATGAAATCAACTAACCTACGAAAAGTGGCTGGAAAAAATTTACGGTTTAAGATGGCAGATGCATTTTTAAAAGTAGTTAGAAAAGAATTAAAAATTCGTAACTTAAAAGATGAAGGTCTGAAACACTAGTTGTAATTCACTTTGATCACATCCTTATTTCATTCTTCCAAATATCTTCGTAGTTACGGTAATAATTCAGACTGACTAATGAAGCTTTTCAATATGACTTCATTGCAAGGAATATTTGTTTTCCTGAATTTAATGATTATCTTTTATTTTACAGACCATTCTTTAGCCATTAAAGTTCATTTATGTATTGCGCTAAAGAGTATGTCAAAAGGTTAATATATATTCCAATGAATATCAAGACTCATAAATTACTGTTGCAAACATTCATGTTAGAAAATTCATTCATTTAACAGAATAAGCTTTACATCTGGTGTGCAGAAAAATAAATATTTAACGCGACTTGTCACTTAACCCTATCTTCATTCTTAACATTTGAGAACAGTCGATAAATACAAACACTCGCAGAGCTAAACAAACATATCAATGGGATTGTTACGACATGTTAATTAAATGGTTTCAAATATTTAAATATTCAGTACTTGAAGTTAAGATTCACCTATGTATACGTACTAGGTAAAAAACACTTTTTGGCTTTGATACAGGTCAAAGATAACCTGGTGATCGTAAATGATCATAATGTTTAGAAATTAAACTCAGTTATGTTGCACTGTTGTAGTCTAAAAGTTAATAATAGATTCTACTTACCTTTTATATATCAAAATATTTTGTTTGGTTTTTCATTATATTATAAAGGACCTCATAAACCTAATGTTATAATTGTGGATGAAAGACTAAATGGAGAGGGTATTGTTACAGAAAAGCAGTGTGAGGTGAGTGCTAGTTTTAGATCAGTAATGAAAATGCAATTTTCGAAAAGTATTTTTAATGTAGTAAATCCACTAACTTGCCTTAAATGTCATTATTAAGCACTTATTGAAGTGTTTGAATATATTCTTTGTCCATCTTTATGATAATTCGATCAAATAACATAATATAACGTTTTGCTATTTAGCTAACCTGATCAAAATTGAGAATGGACCCACTGCATCACTCAATCTTAGATAACTCATACGTTGCTTTTTTGTTTATCAAATAGTTTGTGATCATTTCATTTTACTCGCGATGTATATATGATACTGATTACATGGAATTTTCTAGTTATTGCATTTTCATATACGAGATATAATTGGGAAAAATATAATCTGTAAGGGATCAAACTTGACTTGATATGTGCAAACTTATGTTTGGCAAAGCAATAAAGGTATATGGTTCTATTGAAAATAGTTGATCTGATTTCTGAGTCCGATCGAGCAAATTAATTTTAAAGGAGGAGCACTTGAGATGAGTTTCGTTAAAAGGATAATTTAACCATAGTTCTACTTAAAAAGTTACTGACGCTTTGCACTAGGTAAAAAAGTTGGTATTTTCATTTGTTTCTCCAAAAGACACACTTCTTTTTATTTCAACTGTTTCTAGGCAGCTCTTAGTTCATCGAACCAGGTGTTTCACACGCAAATATCCTCTGACTTCTCAAGAACGGAAAGACTAAGAATAAAATCACCCAGTCCATCATACTCCAGTTCAGTTGGATCATCCGCAAATTTATTTCACTCAACTCCTTCGAGGCCAGAACTTCATTCTAGTCCTACATCACAAGCGAAAACATATCATTCAGGCGCACTAAGGTCAAGTTCTGTACAGAGAGTTATACCGCATTCTTCTAAAGAAACTTTGTGGATCAGAAATTCATATAATACACCGTCCCAAAATCCATACAGGAGTTTAGTTAAAAGTTCCTCAAGTATACCTTTAAGTGGAACTCCAAGTTACTCGGACTCTGTCTTACCTAAGATTACTTCACCATTCTCTCAAAACATGTCCACTCCCAACTGTAATGATTATGTGGAATCTAATGGCAACCAATTACCTAAACATGTATTGAGCAAAACTGATTTCAGCAACACCAAGTTCAATAACAATGTGAGTTTACTTTTCCTGTGGTGTTGGATGTCAAAAGTTTTAAATAGGAAAGGTCACCACTTTCAACATTGTTGTATACTGAAATAATTACTTCAGGTTTGCTAAGGACAATTTATTATGTTAACATTTTTCGTTTATGTGATTACTCCTGAGAAAAGTACGTTTGTTTCTCAAACAATAGTTCGATTATGTAATAACGTCAATACCTAATTGTTATGCTATATAGACGTAGGTCTGTTCTAGCAAGCCATTCATTATTTTCTGAACCAACTAACTCTTCACCTATTTTTACACAGAACTAATCATTACGTTTTAGGTGAATGGTTTATTTAATCCTTTATCAAAAGGTAATGAACTGTTTTACTCGAGAATTATTAAAAATGTTGCAATAACTTAAAAATGCTAAAAATATTTCAGTTTAATTAGTTCACATTGTCTTTTGTATGAATGATAAAAAGAATGACGATAATGTGAGATAATGAATGAATTTTACTAATATACAAAGCCAAATAAGTGTTACTCAGAAAAAGCCTCTTATAAAGGAATAACCGCTGTATAAACCATCCATCGGCAAATGATGTTTTACTTAAGGTATTAAAATTAAATCACATCAAAGTTCTATAGGGAATTTTGTACAGTTCAGCTAGGGTTTGGTTCATTTATATACATATTTCTTAAGTGGATTTTATGTAGGAAAAGTCAAGAATTTGCAGATCTTCGTCATATAAAAAATACAATATTGAGTATCTCTGTATGATTAAATCAAATTCAAATTGGCGTGAACATTGGTGGTGGTTTATAGTTCAATTATCTCTGTCAGATATGGACTTCATTAGTGAATATTAGGCATGTATGGGTTAAACTATTTATCTTTGTATTATGAAAGTTTACAAACTAACAAATACTTGTCTTAATACAGAAATATGGATAAATTCTTTTATTTGGTAAGTAAATGACGTGGTTAATATTTTGCATTTTTATACTGCAAACAACTGTTTCCTCATATTTAAAAATGAGATAATGTTCCCATTATAAGACAGCGGGTTCGCGAATTTTTCGTGTTAGCTACTTCTTTTTACAAGTCTAAAGTGGGATCAATTGTTCCAGATTTTTACACGACCAACCTACAAGATAAGTCTGTAATATATTAAACTGAAACCAAACACTATGTTAAATGCACTGTTTTATTATATCATACATGGTTTCACGTAGTAACCTAACAAACCAAATTTATGAAAAGACCAATAACTGAAGATGTCATGTGACTATTGAGAGTGTGTAACATGCATAGGGACACATCGGTTGTACAATTTTTTTTACCTATCGACCTGACATCAAACGTCAGGTAGTTAAATAGTAAGGAAATATAGTCAGTTAATCTATTGAAATTGTGATTAGTAAGCCGAATAAATCAATTCTTTCGTTACAAATTAAAGAGCTAACTAAGAAATGACAACGTGAATCTAAAATACGTGTAAATTATTGATCTATGGTATTGTGAAGCTTGTTTCTACGATTCAAATAAATTTTTTCGATCATTTTAAGTTTAGAGCTTTCGATTGTCGTAGTGAAAGTTGCAATGAGCTCTATCTTAGTTATGAACAGTTAAAGTTTATGGTAGGTCTCCTTTAATTCTCCGATATTTTTAACCATTAGGATTAGATGGTAGATAGAAACCATTTCAAGAAACCGTTCTGATAAAGAAGTATAAAATACGCCTTTCCAACATAATCATTGTTCATAATTGAAAACTTACTGTTTCTGAAAATTAGTGCTCTGAATTGTATTTATGCAAACATTAGTCAAAATATCTTTATCATTGTTCTGCAAACACTTATGAACACAACAATGATCACAAGTCTAGTTTGGTTTAATTTTAAATGATAAATGACAAAACTTATTCAGTCATGATAAATACCTTTTTATTTTCATCAATCATTATTGAGTACGTGGCTCCAAATAATCATGGTTTCCAAGTTTTATTGGTTGGGAGGAGAATTGAAGATAATTAAACGAAGAATATTTTCTTTTCTACTAAATCATTTACTGAAGATGTTCAACTGTATTTATAGTGGGTCGACAAATAAAAGTAGTTTATTTAGAAACAGAAAAAGGAATACATAATAAAGTGTCCAGGAACTTCAAGGGTCAAAAGCGAGTTGCTTAACGATAGTACAGTTAAGAAAAAATAATAAGATGGAGAAAAGGCCCCTAGCTGAATTATCTTTAACTCTTCTTTGATGGTATAATCGGTTCCTTTCGTTATTATTAATTTTAATTTTACCATTTGTATGTAAACTGTATATATTTGCAGAGATATTTTTAAAAATGTCCAATACAGAGTGCCTTTTGTCCTACTTTTAGTTCTCAGAATTTCTAAGAACATTAATTATATGAAAATATGAAATTTATGCTTTTTCACTAATATACGACACCTTTCAATTGTAATAGTACTCTTTCTTGTTATATATCTGACAAATCAGACTGACTTATATCTAGGCCATTTTTGTATGGTATTTCAGTAATTAAAATAATTAGATTTTGACAATATTTTGGTACTTAGCAATAACAAAATCCTGTTTTGGTCTAAACAAAACTCATCATTCGATTATCCATACTTACTTATGGGTTTGACTTACTATAATTATTCCACATCATCCTTTACTAAAGCCAATAAATTATATCGGATAATCAGCTGATAAATGTCTACTTGTAACATGAAGTTTATGTGAAGTAGCTTTTTCACAATAGAAAGGGAATAGATATTGAAGTTGGATTATTGTTTTTGATCAATTAACCACCATAAATTTCTAGACACATTGATTTTTTTCACTAGATTATTTTCATCTTTTAGTAAATTATTCAAACAAATACGAAAATAAGAATAACACATACTAGTTTTAATTAGTTTTAAGTGAATTTAGCTCAACTGTCTATTGGTTAGAAAGTTTCAAACACAACAGGAGATCATAAAACTACTTTTTTTTGTGTATTTCTTTTTGTTTCATTCTTCTTTGTCATTTTTTACTATAATTTAATACACTTTGAACAGACAGATATATGTGTTGGTAAATCATTGAGAAATACTTAGTAGGATTAAATATAATTACTGTTGGAGTGACAAGAAGATTTACAAAACAAATCGAGTTCCATTTGTTGTAAGTATAGGATAAGATAAAACTAATAAACATCTTATTATTTTCTTAGTGGATAAATATTAGTATTTTAGATGAACAAACTGAATTTTAAACAGAATATATACTTTTCTAAAAATATCCAGTCAGTCACAACGTAGAACTTCGTACGTTCGTACATCAGTTCGAGTTGCCATGCCACATTAGTACAGAGATTCAGTTATCGATTTAAATCCCATAGTGGTAGAGGTAGTAAAAGTATAATCAGTAATCAGAAACATTAGGGTTTGAAGATGTTATTCAAGGAGTATGATCCAGTGAAATAAATTTGGAAATAGAAAAAATAAAGGACATAATGAATTCAGAAGATTAGAATTTGGGAAAGCACAAAGAGCGGATGCATCTGCCCGATTGCAAACGATTTTAAGCCATGTCACTCAAGGTCTCTAACCATCGATTGTTATCGTCTCGCGGATCCCAACCAGGTAGTCTATACCTACCAACATGGCTCAGTTCACTTGTCAATGACTTCATGGATTTGTGCCATGTTTTGGTCTGGCCGCCTGTAGCTTTCTTCCAACCTACTCCTACACCATGAAGCATCGCACGTCGGGGCAGTCGGTGGTTGGGCATGCGTAACACATGTCCCAGCCATCTTTCTAAAGATATAACAAGATTATTCTAGCTGCAAAGTAAATACAATACCAATCGGTCAGTTGTAACTTCAAATTATTCACTATAAAATCAAATGTCGAAAATCTCTACTTTTTATCATAAAATACTTAGAATTAATAGTTTATGTATTTCATTAATGACATAATTATTTAGGAAAATATTTTTCCTATAGTAGTTAGATAAACAGGAATATATTTGATTATATGTATACTAAAGGTTTTATTTTTCTAAGAGAATTTATTTATGCATATTTTACCGTAATTGCATTACATGACAAAAATGATTTATTTTGACAGTAAATAGTTAATTTTCGAATGTATTGCTTTAATTATTTACTTTTGATAAGTAATAAACTTGTTATTGCATCTACTTGGATTACTCATAAGGTCAATAAAATTATTTTTGATTGGTAAAATTTTCATTAAGAGTTTAAGGATTATGGTGTTTTCAGTTAAAACAGTTGTTTGAATGTTTATATTATTGCATTATTGCATATACTATAGTCTTAAATTTCATCACTTGTGATGTAATAGTTCTAATAAATTGAAATTTTTAACGTTAATCACTTCTAATGCAAACGAATATAAAATTACGAGTTAAGTTTTTGTTTCATATTTTATTCTTTTGATCAGTGGTGTGAATCAATGGTTGGTACATAACAAAATCTTCACTTACAGTCTTGAGCCATCTCAGCCACAGTAAACACAAATACTGACTATGATTGACAATCTTAAAAACTCCTAAAATCCAAGGAGATCAAAATAACTGGTGTAAATCCCTGTATTTTGTGTACCTGAAGAGGTACTTAACCTCGTCGTATGTACCTACTATTGTAGGCCAGCATCAAAATCAGCCATAGTTAAATATATTTACTACATGGATGTCATTTTTAAAGTTCCGAGGCACTACTCCGAAAATGATTAATATAAATAGGAGTAAACTGGAGTGGCCTTAATAATGTTCATGTGTGATAGTACACTATTATGATTGAAGTAGCCTAGAACTGAGATATCTCAGCTTGATGAGATATAAATGCTCTAATCACATTAGTTAAAGTACAAATGTTACCTGTGTACCATTTCAGACCTCTACCAATCTTAAGTAAATAACCTATCAAAATATTACCCACAATTTAAAAATTGAACCTGTATAAAGGTGTTAATTAAGGTCAGGTATCTTATTGACGCATTT